CAGCCAGCACAGGTCCTGCATTCCCTGTTTGTCCCACATCCCGTTCCTCACCCAGCACAGAGCCTGCAGCCGGGGCAGTGCAGAAATCCCTCTCCCACAGCATCTCCTCTCACCCCCTCATCTCGGTGGTGCTGTAATTAATATGCACAATGCTATCAATTGATTTGTTTTTGCCTTTGCAGGCTAATGGAGGCTGGCAGGACGCAACCACTCCATCTTCTGTGACTTCCCCTACAGAAGGGCCGGGAAGTGTGCACTCGGATACCTCTAACTAATCTCCTAGCAACACTTTTTCCCTGAGCTGAGATGCCTTGATGCGCATTCAGAGTTGCAGGAGAAAAAGGAAAGAGTTTTTTTGTAGCCAACCACCTACAGCTTTACTGTAAAACCTTGTCTTATTAGAAAACTTGGTAAATCTGTTTTTTAAAGGTATCATAATCATTTGTATTTATACTTAAAACACACAATGTTAAAAAGCACTTTATCCAATTAGGCCAAGATTTAGCATTGTTTATAGCCCTGTAACTATTTTATCATAATTTATTATCAGCAGTTTTAATGATGTTGGTCTAACAGTTGCCAATTACTTGGCCTTAAGGGTAAAAGTACAGGACAAGCTTAACCTCAGTAGCAAGAGCAGACACAAAGAACCGCCTCGCCCAAATTTAATTGTGTGCATATTTCCATGGAAAGTTGACAGGAATCACAGACTTTGATTGTGTTTCATCTTTTCATATCTCTCACAGAGCTGGAATAAAAAGAGCTGTTCGGTTATTTCAGTTAACAATGGTCGTGTTTAAGAATCCTTATTCGTCACGTTTTTTGTTGAGATCTATTGTCTTACAAATTAGATTGGAAAGCAGGAGCATCTTTTCTGCCTAAAGCCCACGCGGAGCCCAATTTCTCTGTCCCCTGGCATGGACACAGGATGTTTTTGGGAGATGGGGACTCTTGCTGCTGGTTCTGTGCACGCCACGACCCAGGGTTTTACAGTACGAGCTGGGTGCTACCCACGCTGCCAAGGGCTGGTGCCTCTGCTTGGCAGCAAACCACAAACAAAGGAAAAGGCAAGGAAAAAGCACCGTGATATGGAGTGTTGTACATAGTGTAGCAAAAGAGTATTTATACATCTCACCAATCAAACACAGCTTTATTACCTCATGCGAACTCATACAAACCAATAGACTTTCAACATGTTCTGTAGCTTAGAGTGCTCACTTACTACCTCTGAACGATACTCACGCTGTAGTTTGTCTCTTTCTTATCTTTTTGCATCTTGTAATTAACTCTTTGTTTCCTCACGAAATGTAATGTACATTGTAATCTCCTACAAATCAGGGTTGCCTTGGCAACTGSTAAAGAAGCGGAATGGGAACATGGGGTCTTAGGTTGGACACAAAACAGTGCAACTGTTGTAAATACTGAGAAGCATTTTGAATGTTCTTCATCTTGTTACTAATACACGCAAAAACCAACAACTAATTGTAATGCATACAGACTTCAGTATTCAGTACTGTACATCCCCCTGGRTTGCAGGGGCCCTTTCTCTCTCTCTTTTGTATTGTATGCGATTCTGAAACTGATTGAGTCATGAAAATAATTTGTGGCAGTGATTCTAATGTATTAAACCGTTTCGTGTTACTTTCTAACTGGATTACACCCTGGATTGAAAAGTCTTCCTCGTGGTAGTTATATGTAGTTTCAAACATGAATAAACTTTTTGCTTTCATGATCAAACGTTGATGTAACTTCTTCCTGCTCAGTTSAAGTCAGCCCCAGGGGATGTGTCGGTCTCCAGAAGAGCGAGCTGGCGTGGAGCAGGAGCTGAGCATCTCTTTACACACCAGCAGATCTTTGTGCCCTTTGCCAGAAGAGGATTGGAAATCCTGGGAGAGGAATATCAGGGGCAGAGGCTTCCACCTGCCAGCTCCTGCCTCCACTGCCACCCTGCTCTGCTTGGGAGCCACAAATCAAGTGGAGGTAAAGGAAGGGGTCAGGCCTTTAGATGAGTTTAAAAACCATCATCATATTCACTCTTAATTACCATTTTTTATTTAACATTAACTTTGGAGCTATAGCCACAGCTAGCAAGTCTAATGTGATTATAAAAATATTTTTCTTTATTAAAAAAACTTTTTTGGAAGGACGTATATATATAAATGCTAATTTTAAGTCTTTTTAATAAAGTAAAGGTCAATAACAGGTAATAGCCTATTTACCATATCTCAAGGAAATTGACTCACAGGAAATCAAATTAACGTTAATCACTTGCAGCAAATGGTCTTTGATAAATATAACTACTCGTTCCTCGGGTTAGTGCAGCTAGACAGGAGGAGGCTGAGCGCTCACCAGAGCCCTGCTAGGCTGGAACTGCAGCTCAGGAGCTCTCAGGAGCTGCTGCTCCATCACCTTCCCTGCCCTTTGGCTCTTCAAGCCTCTGGGTGGTGTTTTGGTGGCTGAACAATTATTTGCATGATTTAATGACCTTGTGGTTCAGCTCTTCTYAACAATTCTCGTATCAGGATTTTTTGTAAAATACCTTTGTTATCCCACCGTCCCCCCAGGCTGTGGTAACACTGCACCCCATGCTCTCATGCCCTGGTGACTGTTGCTGCTCTCGTTCATGGAGCAGACTCACTTCAATCAGGTTTGGAATTGAGCAGTTCTTCTTCTACAGGTGGTGCATTTAAATAAACAAGTAAATAACTAAACACGCATTGCAAAGCCTTTGTTATCCTTTAASGAGAGCTGGGGCAGGTGGGGACTGTGTGGACTGCCAAAGACTGCTGCATGCAGAGGACAAGGCACCCAACAATTTGCATTTGCTAATGGAGCTCCCCAGTCCACACACTCACTGTTYGTGCTCCAGCTCAGTGGAAATGGTATTTTATATATGAAATGTAAAGTGTGTCAGTGGAGGCGTAGCAGGCAGCGTAATGAACACTCAGACGTCCCTCATCTTGATCACATCTCTGCTGGCCACAGGCAAGGACCTGTCACACGCTGAGGAGGTTCACAGGAAGGCCATCAACAACCTTTGGGCYGCCCTTGCGTGCCCCGCGCCCGCCGGGCATCATTAGCTGCTGCTTTACAGCATTAAGGCTTTGAGTCCCTTTGAATTACAAGTGCAATTTGGCCTTTCCTTACGTTGGAGAACAGCCACGTGGTTCCATGGCAAATAATAAACATCTTATCCTTGAGGCCTGATCAGGCATCAGGGAGGTTTACTGCCAGCACCAGCGCTGGGATCAAGCTGCTGATGCTCTGCTGTGTCTCAGCCGGGAGCTCCAGCCCGAAGCTCTGTCAGAGCMTCACACAGAACAGCGTTTTGCACCAGGGGAGGAGACCCCCAGCCCTCCCACGGCTCCAGTTCAGCACCATCCTCATCCCCTGCGCCCGAGTTTGAGCTTCTGGCACATGTGAACCGTTCAACCAGAGCCCAGCAGCCGTGAGAGGTGCCAGCCCTGAGAGCCCGTGTGGAGCACAGCAGGAGCAAAGGGAGGATTTGCTGCAGCTCCAGGAATCGCCAKCTCCTGTGCCCGACACTGAGCTAAGGCAGCCGTCGCTGGGACAGGTTTGAGGGTGTTGGAGGAGAACCCCAAAGTGCTCCCCTGGGCACAGCTGGACCAGCCCCAGCTTTGAGCTGCTGTGCCAGGGGGATGCTGGCACTGCCACTGCTCTGGGGTGTCCTCAGAGGAGCCATCAGGAGCCCCGCAGTCGGGGACACGCCTGGCACTGCAGATTCAGCAGGTTTGTGACCCACCGAGCCCTGGGAGCAGCCCCACAGCCTCCCACCCCACAGAACAGCACATTCATCTGCCCAGAGGCCTCACCCTGTGCCTGGCTCTGTGTGTGCCCAGCCTTGGATCAACGAGGGACCCACAGCCCAGGATGGGGACAGCAGGGCAGTGTGGCCTTGGGGACAGCAGCCACTGGGTCAGTGGGGCAGCTCTGCTGTCTCAGCCCCACATTGTGTGATCCCACAGCAATGCCAGTGCCAAGATCTGTGCCATGTACTTCCAATGTGATAAAAGTAACTGTGAGTAACTGAAGATGTTTCCAGTTTGTGTTAATAAAATACATCTTTTTAAAGAATGGAATTCTTCAAAGATTGGCAAATTTTATTTTATTTCATTAGCTTTAATGTTACTGCCATATGGACTGTGAAGAAAAGTGAACCATTAGATCAGAGGGACTGAGTTATCAGCGTGACACAGAAAGCTCTGATACAATTGTTAAGGATAAGCCCCGGAGTGATTTATTGCCTGCATTGTATTAGCCACAGAGGAGTTATGATATGCTCCCCATTCCTGTATCATATTAGGATTTTATTAGTCTAATATGACATGGTAATATAATATATGCTTACAATTCCCATCCAGTGATCCTTTCCTTGGTTGTGGGGGCTGGAGAAGGTTCTGTGTGCATCATACCCGGGGGGATTCCTGGGGATGCTCAGTAGCTGAGGAGTCATTTCCTACCTTCCCATGAGGGACATGGGGCCCTCACCTTCTGCAGGCACCCCAGGCTGCCTGTGTGCCACCAAATCCCAAATTACCAAACTGCTGGCTCCTTCCTGCATCTGGGGCAGTGAAGGATGGAGCTGGCACTATGATCCTTGCAGACAGTCCAGCCACGGGTCTGGGCTGAGTCCTGACCTGGGAAATCGTCCCTCACATGAGAACAGAGGCACCAGCTGTGCCAGGTGTGCTGTGGTGCCAGCAGAGCCCATTTCCCCTGGGTTCAGGGAGGCAGGAACGATTTCAGGGTCTGGGCAAAGGCTCTGTGTGCCCAGCACAGAGAGGAACCCGGGCTGTGCTCCAGCTCAGCTCAGCTCAGCTCAGCTCAGCTCAGCTCAGCTCAGCCTCGGCTCTGTGTGCACTGCTGTGCTCATCACCGTGCCCCCCTTATCCCTCACGTCACCCTGCCCTCTGGAAACTCAACTTCCCCAACAAATCCTGAAGACAAACTTTTGTTCAAAGTTTCCCCGGTGTCCCCATGCGTGTCTCGGAGCCCCGTTCGCCTGGGAGCAGTCGGAAGCAGACGCTGTTTGTAGCCTCATTTTTGCCTCCAGCAGCAGCAGCAGGAGGAAGGAGTTCAAGCATGTCAGCGCTACTAGGTGCTAAATCCCAAAATCTATATCAAAGCCTATTTGATCATCTTCCTGTCATTGATRTAATAAAAAGGATTAATTTATTGGAGACTGCCAAAACCCTCATGTGGCAACAAATTTAAGRATCGTGTTTACACAGCCTAATTAAAACCAATTATTTTCATTCCTCTCYGTGGTGCTAATGCAGGTGCTGACGTGTGTGCTGGAGCTCCTGTTGAACCCCCTGTTCCTGGGGTGG